GCATGAATGACAGTTCAGAGGATTCTCTTTCAAGTGTAGTCTTAAAAGGCCTTTGAACTGTCATTCATGCATGCTTAAATTTGACACTTTAAGCCTAAGTTTGAATAAAGACTGTAATTATCTTACCCATTACAAAGATAGCTTCCCCAATTATCACCTCTAATATCATTAGCTCACAGATATTTACCTCCCTCCCCCGTCGCTCTTCTGTTCTGAAATTTGATTTGTCCTTTTCATATGTGTTCATTTTTTTAATTGTATCCTTTGGTATATATGGTTGTGACAATTTTCTTCCACTATTTGATCTGAGGAAGTGGGTCTGGCCCACGAAAGCTCATCACCTAATAAACCATCTTGTTAGTCTTTAAAATGCTACATAGTCCTGTTTTTTGTTTCAGCTACATCAGACTAACACGGCTACATTTCTATCACTATTCTGCAATGGTTATCACTAGGATGTTGTGTAATTATCATCTGCGCTCAATGAGTATTATGATTGCAAAAATCTATGTATATAAAATCTATGTACTTCATTGCATCCCACTTCCCTATCATTTGTAGAACACTTGTCTTCATAAGCTGTAAGTTTTTCAGACCAAGGAGCATGTCTATCTGTGTCTATTTACAATAGCTTGTGCAAAAAAGTTCCCCAGTGTGAACCAGGAACTCTTCAAGAGACACTGTAATTTAAAAGAGGCAGCCTGCTTACACTGAAAACTTATCACTGGCCACATCAAAAGGTTTATAACTTTTGGGCCAAATCAGTTTTAAAGATTGTTAAATGGCTTTCACGATTCTTTGAAGATGTTTTTTTCCCCACTCTTGCACACACTTCACTTTTCTTATTTGGAATCAAGATTTGAAGGGCCACTGTGGTTCCGATCCTAACCAAAATGGCCAGGACTGACAAAGACCACTCTGAAAAAATTATATAATTGGAAAGATGATCAATTACAAGTAAACAATACAACCATTTTTTTTAACCTGAAAGGAGAAAGAAAGTATTCCAAAAATACTCCATCACCTACCATACATTTCCAGAGTCACAAAATACAGACTTGGCAAAATTTTAGCTAGTGACTCTTCCCTTCTATAGACATCTCTCCAAAAGAATCCTATTGCAGACTACCAGACCAAGAATACACTCAGAATAGGACAACATAGACCTACTCGTACATTTGGTGTTTAAATACCATGGTGACTGCTTTGTAAAGAATATCTACATAATCTCGGCAGGATAGAAGTAAGAGGTAACAATCTAACTGGTCATGGGATGACATATCCTTTCAAATCGCTTTTAGATGTTGTCTTGCTACCTTAACAAGAGCCATCAACTTAGTTAACTGTGTTTTTAGTTAACTTCCAAGCTATGGTACAAAGCTTGCAGAGAAATCATGGTATCACATGCTCCTTGAACATTTAGAAAGTAGTTAGCTAGTATGCTCTAGGCTAGATATAGATATCCAGGCCAAGAAAATTATGTGAAAGTAAATAAATACAGCCATTTGTATCTTCCTACCCGCAGAAAAGAAAAATTAAGCATATTGAAAGGCAGCAAACTAATAAAAGGAAAATGTAAAAATACACACAATTCACAGGTAGAATTCACTACAGCAAGGGATCTTTGTGGCCAAGACCTTGGTAGGATTAGAAAAAGGACTGATATTGACATATATAAGAACATTGAAAGTTACATTAGAAAAGATTAAAAAAATAATTTGGAAGGAATACAAACCTTTATGCTTCGAGGCATAGATCAACCTCGAAGTGGCTTAGGCTACACAGAAATTCCTCTGTGGAAAAAACTCCAGAACTATACACTTCAGAACCTCAGAGTTTCTTGCATTGTCCTTCAACAAACATCTGTTATAAACCTCAGTTAGGACACAAGATACTCTACTAGATGGACTACTTGATTCAACATAGATTCTTGATTCCTATGCTCCAAAACAGGTAGGATCATTTAAAAAGTGATGTAGAGAAATTTCTTTAAGATAACAGAACAATATAAGGCTATTAGGAGGTGGAAGAAGCACGCAGTTCAATCTTATGCTTACAGAAGCAATCTCTGGGCTGCACCATTCCCCTGAATTTGCAACAAGGACCCTCAACTCAGCAGCCCTGAGACTTACCAAATAACAGACACAAATTCAATAGTCCAATACATAAACTACAAGAAAAGATGAGAAACAGGGGGTATTTAGGAACCCCAGGAGCTCATGGTCACTGGGATATATCAGTCACTTAATGAAAAATCAGAGGTAATTTTGTAGGAATTCACTGTGCCCCAGTTGTTCAGGTACTGGGAAACTAAAACACAAAGGAGATCACCCGATAGCACCCAGTCTAATCTGCCTTATGACATTCTGAAAACACTCCCTGAAAACAAAAATAACCTGAAGGTGGAGCAGTTAACTAAAATCTATGTCTTGTAAAGTGCAAATATTAAGTTGGGCTTGAGTTTATTTTATAGCAATACCATGGTCCTCTAAGCACATTTTTATTGAGTATTATCTGCCTCCAGAGAACAGATGCATCCTCACATAAGAGGAAGCACTAAGAAAAAAAGAACACTTTTTTTTCCCACTTTATCCTCAGCCACTTCTATTAGGTAACTTAAGATCTTAATGTTAAAAAAAATCAAAACTAGAAAAATATTAGTTTAAAAGGGACAAATTCAAAAGATGAAAAAATACTTACTTTGTAAATAGTGCAAAACCATCAACACAAGACTATAGCTGCTTAAAGTACCACGACTGGCATCATTTATGTCATGAAAACTTGCCCACTTCTTAATCACCAGTACTAATGGACGAACTCGATTCTCAACTGTAAGTAAGAAGACACTCATCAAAATGAGCAAACTAAGTAAATTTATGCTAATTTTCAAGGCTAACATTTTTATATTTCCTCCAGATTAATATAATATCACTTATAGATGTTGTCTTCCCATTTAATGAAATTCTGTGATAGGCAGTAAGTTATGCTAGTGCTACTTTCATTTTTCCAGAGCAGGAAATTGTATTCATGCTTACTTGAAAAATGTCCTTTGCTCTGAGACTTACTGAACCACCATGTTCCAGCTCTCTCTTTCTATACCCACTCCCTGAATGGAACCTCTTGAAAAAAAGAAAAGTCTTTGACTCTCTGCATTCAACAGCTGAGAGAGAGGAGAGTATATATTTGTGACTAGAGTTATGGCAAGAGATGATAGAGGGCGAGATGTAGAGAGGATTCTTGGAGTTTCTAGACAGGTATAGGAACTCTGAATCACTGAAGCATGCATGAGTTTAAGAGCCGAATTCCCAACAGGGTGAACTGGATTTTCCCAATTCCCAATGAAAACACCACTTGTTTTCCGTAAGACAATCTTCATATTCTGATTGCTTTCTTCCAAGATGAAACTTCGTACCTGACAGTATTCTTCTCTGCATAGGCTTATGAATAACTTCTGTGGTATCATATCTGTCTATCCTGAATTGAGGAGACAATAGAAACTGTATCACCTTGTGTATTTGCTTTAGCCTTCTCTTTGTACAGAAACCGTATCAGAAGAATTGGCCAGGAAGAGATACATGATTTTCCTTCCCTAAAGCCAGTGCTATTACCACCTTAATCCAGGAAAACATACAAATTCAAAAAGTCTGAAAATTGGAAAAGAAACAGGCTGCCCTCCATGTGTAAACATAAAAATTGCTTGTGGATGATAATGTGGGACTACTTTGAAGATAAACCTCTACTAGAAACGTAGATGTTTCAGATAGGGCCCTGCTCACCCTGTTCCTCATTCTGAGGCAAGAAATAGGATGGGGAGTGTGTTGCAATGCTCATCTGGATTAGATGATGATGATGATGTTGTTCATGTTGCAGCTTTTTCATTGGTTGCTGAGACAGAGAATAGGACAAAGTTGTTCTTGAATTTCTCAGTCATACAGACATCCCTCTTTGGATGATGTCACCTCATCTGATCAAAACTTTAGGAGACCTTTTTTTGTCCCCAAACTGAAAGAGCCTGTCACTGATCAGTGGCCTAATTCTGAACAGGGCTGACTGGCAGATAACTTAGGCAATACGTGACAGCTACTGCCTCTGAACTTGTTTGAGCTATAAATTGCAAAGAGGGAGCTTCTCCTGTTGTAATTCACAGACTGCTCCAACTTATCAAATAACCTACGTTCCTTTTTCGTTAGTGTCTAGAATAGCCTCCATTTCCATCATTTTTTTCATTATATCACTAAGACAGCTAGAAACTGGTCTGTCTGATCATCTGATCCTAAGGAGCAACATGCCATATAACTCAAACAGATTTGATTCCCACTCTCCCCCTAAGAGAAGCATTCAGGCCACATGATTTTTAGGTTGAGTAAGACCATATTAGCCCTGATTATGGAAGTATGCAGAGGGCACTTAGGGTATCATTTTCTAGTTTATTTTTGTCTTATGCCATCTTAGAGCTTTCATGCCCAAAGGAGGAGGTTGACATGACACCTGTGAAAAGCCTGTATAGTGAAGTGGCCACTCAGGTAAAAATTTCCACCAGTTAGAAACACGGTCTCTCTGGCCACCAAATAGCTACATTAATCTTGGATAGGGAAAGCAGATAAAATTTTGTCTGGTGCACACCAATGAGGCCTTTCTACCCTTAATAAAACAGAGTTAAGTGTGGGAAAAAAAGCAAGTGGTGAACCAAGAGACCCATCATTGCCTGGTTGTTCTTCCATATCTAGGCTGCTGTCCTGCTCAGTCCACAGCCCCCTGCTGGGGAAAAGGAAGAGGCAGTAGTGAGATATGGTAACCTGCAACAGAGGGTAGGAAGAATAATCTGAAAATTAGGACACAGTGACTAGCTGGAGATAAAAGCATGATATTTCCCAGCTTTTTTGTTTGACAGATAATCTCAATCCTTCTATTGCATCTTCCCAAGTTGCATCAAGAGATACACACAACTACAACTTGTCCAAGACAGCTGCAGGCCAACTAAGGATAGTTTCAGGATACCTAGTACTCACACTTAGATGTATCTTCTTTGTTTGATTGGTTTGGGGGATTTTGGAAAGAGGAGGCAAGATATTTATATTTTGCTCTTTGTGTGGCTAACACTGATCTGAATTGTTGGTCTGCAGCTGGAGTGAAAGCATGCTTAGAAGAATCAAGCAAGTCTGTGGCCCAATGTTTCTGTTCATCTGCTCTGTGAGGGTGAGCCAAGGATCTGGGTGTTGAAGATGAGCTGATAAACTTCATTCCATGAAGTTTGTCCCCATAATCCTGCTTCAGAGGGAGAGTGTGAAATTGGGCTCACAGAATACACCAGAAGTATTTCAAGAAGACAGCAATTTCCATATACAGGCAGTCCCCGGGTTACATGGATCCGACTTACATCGGATCCCTACTTACAAACAGGATGAGGCAACCCCGCACTAGCTGCTTCCCCCCAGCAGACCAGGGAGACGCAAAGCTAGCACCCCTCCCAGCAGACCAGGGAGACGTGGAGCGGCTTTTCTCAGCAGACACCTCAGCTTGAGAATAAAGGACTGTGGGAAGTGAGGTGTGGGAGAATAAAACTGAGCTCTGGAGAAATGTTTGGCTAGAGTTTCCCCTACAATATGTACCAGTTCCGACTTACATACAAATTCAACTTAAGAACAAACCTACAGTCCCTATCTTGTATGTAACCCGGGGACTGCCTGTACTCAGAAATGCAGAGGTTGTTTATCTCTCCTCCCCAAAACAGGCCACTCTGTGTCTCTCAAGGAAGGTATGAGTCTTGTACTCAAACAGGCTCTCCAGAAGCTCTATCCCTTTTTTGCATGGAATCCAAGTGGTCCATATAATCTCAATCCTTCTATTACATCTTCCCAAGTTGCATCAAGAGAGATACAAAACTACAACTTGTCCAAGACAGCTGAAGGCCAACTAAGGATAGTTTCAGGATACCTAGTACTCACTCTTAGATGTATCTTCTTCGGTTGGTTGGTTGGTTGGGGGGATTTTGGAAAGGGGAGGCAAGATATTTATATTTTGCTCCTTGTGTGTCTAACACTGATCTGAATTGTTGGTCTGCAGCTGGGGTGAAAGTATGCTTAGAATAATCAAGGAAGTCTGTGGCCCAATGTTTCTGTTTATCTGCTCTGTGAGAGTGAGCCAAGGATCTGGGTGTTGAAGATGAGCTGATATGCTCATTTTCCCAGGTGGGGAGTCTGATCCTCGGACTTCAGCAGGGATCTATTCGGGTGAGGAGCTGTTACAGGGGAGCAACAGATGTATGGATCTGGGCCCAGAGACTCCTTTCTGCATTCGTTACTGGCAGTGACGGCTCTATCTGGTGCTGTCCAGGAAGGCAGAGGCAGCTGAGTTCTACAATCAGAGGCGTAGCTGCTAGTATGGCATAGTCTTCCATCTGGCATGCTGCTCTTCTAACTTCAGTGTCATCAAGGAAATGGAAGGGGCTGCTTCCCCCCCACAGCCAGTTCTTTCCCCAATCTTGCCTGTCCCCTTTTTCTAGTTGGGCTGCCTGTTGCCCAACACAAACAGCTCTCCAAATCTGCCTGGCTCCTCTCCAGTTCAGAGGAAAGGGGCTAAAATGACCCCATCCTGACTGGACTGTGAAGGAAATTGCATTCTGCTTGCAGAGCTGACCGAGCTTCCCAGTAAGACACTGTCCCGTCCACTTATCGCTAATTTTTCTCATGTTAGCTCTACCTGCAAGAGTACCAGCTCCAAACACCTCAGAAAGGGAAGAAGAGCTGAGGGGCAATTTCTCCCCAAAAATCAAAGGCAGGCAGGCCTGAGACTCTGCTAGGAATTGGCTAGCCTAATTCAGTCAAACAATTTTCAGTCTAAATCTGAACTACTATTTGGAATTCCCCCCAGAGAAACTCTGAAGGAGGGAGGCTGAGCCACCTACCTTTAGGGAGGCAGAAGAAACTAGGAGATCTTCAAGGAGCAGTATTACCCTGCTCCCAGTGACTGATGGGGCAAGTTCTGCCTCCAAGCTGCAGACAGGCTGACATACCCCCCCATAATAATTATGTGGACTGTCATATGAAAAACAGACATTTTAAATTCAGAAGTTAAAAAGGTTAGTTATACTAAGTTGCACTTCTTTTCATCATACAATTGATCTTTGAAGAATTATGGGTAAGAAGAATTACTGTATCTAATTTAGTTACTTAATAAAAGAGATATCTTTCCAATAAGATTAGATGCTAATGCGTTTGTAACAAAAGTTCCTCTGAAGGGGGTTAAACTGAAATGCTAGTTTACAGTAGAGAAAGCTCTCTGAAAATAATATAAAACACAACTTACTGTATGCATAGGTTCTGAGAAGGAATGTATTTCTTATTCCTACAACATTGTTTACATTCAAGTCAAACTCCACACAGCTATGGGGGGAAAAAAAGTAAAACCATAAGCACACATTTTTCAAATTAAGATATAACTACCATATATTTATTACCATCCCATCACTGACTGAATTAACTGTAAGTTTGACTAGAAATGTGAGTTTAATGTAAGCTTCTAGACTTTTGCTTCTTCTGTGAGGGTATTAAATATGCTGATTGCTTCATTACTACTCATGTCTTAATTACATTTCTTTACACTAGTTTTTGGATATCAAATCAACAAGCACTTTAGAATGAGACATTTGTTTTGTACAAAATATGGAAGATTTGCTATTAACTCAGTTTCTCCATTGTTAGTCAGACTTCAGAGTGTGATTTTTATAAATTTCATGGTAAGCAGCAAACAGATAAAAAAAACATAAGCCTATTTTCAATTTACAAATTTTAATTTCAGTGGTTTGTGTTAGATTAAAAATTTCTAGAAACATTTGAATTTATATTAAGAACAGCAATGCTTTAAGCTATAACAGGAGGGATACACTATATGGACCAGAAGGTAACTCATATCAGTGATATATTACAGATTCAGGACTGACTCAATCAAATTTTCTTCTTATTTTTCTTTAATTTTTAACATCCTTTTTTTAATTTTTAAAATCTATTTATGCAATTTTAACAGGTTTACAAATCATTGCTAGACAGACACCAAACAAAACACAAAACAATAATCATCACAGCAGTGAACTTTTGTTTAGAAAAACATTATATATTGCTATAATTACCTGACAGTTATTTTAGAAACTCTTTTTGAGAAAAAAATCCCTTTGTTATGTTACTTACATTTCCTTTATAATAAATCATCATATAAATTGTTATCTTGGTGAAAACCAAACTATGCCAAATAAGCTATCAATTCTGAATATCTGCAGAATACACTATACTGGAAAAGGATTTTTTTTTTAATACTGCTTTCAGACAGCCCATTGTTGCAGACATTATATTATTTGAAAACCTGTATCAGAGTTAAATCTTACTCTTTCAGAAGTTTTAATGGAACAATAAAGCCCCACAAAATAAAAAGAAAATCAGCCGTGTAGGAGGATTACAAGTTTGAGTTATTTGGTAAATATTTGCACATTTATTTACAATATCACTAGGAATATTAGTGGTCACTGAACTAAATATGTTTCATGGGAGCAGCTGGGAAAGAGAGTGTGTGCCTGGCCAGTTCCGAGGGGTGGGGCCAGCAGCCAGTGTACTCTGGCCCCACTCTCAAGGAGCCCCCTGCCACTCACAGGATGCCAGGTGGGAACTGGTCTGTGAGGGGAGCCAGTATAAAAATCAGCTCCCCTCACGGACCAGCTGCCTGTCTCCCCACACTGCTGCCTCTGATACAGGAGTGGCAGCAGCTCCCGTCCCAGGAGACTGTGTGGGGGGTGGGAGGGAGGAGATCTGAGCTCCGGACCCACCATGAGCCGGAACTGAGCTAGGCTGTCTGCCTGCCTACCTCCTAATAACACTTTAAAGGCAGAGCTGCAGCAGGGATAGGTCCCAGACCAAGCACAAGCCAGGGCACTCTTCCCCCAACTTCCCTTAGTCCTTGTAAAATGAGGGTTACAGGAGTCAGAGTAAGAAGTCCTCCAGCTTGACATTATTTCAACATTATGTTGAAATAATTGCTTGCTGTGTAGACGTGGACTATGTTATTTTGGAATAACGTCAGTTATTCTGAAATAATGTTGCTGTGTAAACATAGCCTAACAGATAAGTAAATTTTTCAATCCCTGATATTAAAGAGTTTCCACTTTGTGTTGTTGTTGTTGTTAAGGTTACAGCAATATATTAGGTGAAAATGTATATAGTAACTTTACTAGCAAGCAAGTTTATGAACCATAAGCTTACGAGAAAATTTATGAAAACTACCTAATACTGTGATTTTCATACTTATTCTTAAGAGTTTTTTAAAACCTGTGTTACATAAAGATAACTACATCTAGTCACTTAAGTTTCTCACCTGTGAGTTACTACTAAAATCATATAGGTGACTACTGCAGTATTTGGGCAAATTATATGATCTTTGCTTTTACTTCACTATTTGGATAATTTATCCACTGCTAACATATGATTGATCATTTTATTCAACTATTGTAAAAGTAATGTTTTGCATACTTTGACCTTGTGTCCCACAGTCTCATGCTCTATTCAACAGACCATCTTTCTCCTATTTTGATTCTCATTGTAAATGGAAAGTATGTAATGAAAATGCAATTAGAATTTCATAATCCAGAATGCAAGTACAGGCAGTCCCCGAGTTACGCGGATCCGACTTATGTCGGATCCGCAGTTACGAACGGGGCCCGTCTCCCTGGTCTCCAGCAGACCAGGGAGAGGAAGCAAAGCGGCGGAGCACGCGGGCAGCAGACAGCCCAGACGCGTCTGGGGGAGCAAAGCAGAGCAAAGCCACGGAGCCCGAGGGCAGCAGGACAACCATGGCGCATCTGGGCTGTCCCACTGCCCCTGTGCTCCGTGGCTTTGCTCCGGACGCCTGTGGTACAGCAGCTGGGGCGCTGCCGGTTGGTCC